TAAAGTCTTTAAAAAATGAGTGGAAGTCAATGCAAGGTCCCCACAGGGTTGTCAGTCACATGGAGGCAGGGCTTAAAAGTCTGAATTTTGCCTGAAACTCTCAGACTGAAGAAGTCTCTTGGAGGAGAGACGAAACGTTTTATTAGAGAAGAACCCGTCCAGAAGACCTACACATTTTTTTTCTTTTTCATATATATTATTATTGTCTTTAAACCTCATTAGAAAAGACTTACTGGTCAACAACAGACACACATAAAATATTGCATAAAAGAACAGTAATTGTTCATGTAAATCAAAGACACTTTTTGTTGTGCTCATATTTAGACGTCCTATTTTGCAAATGCTGCCTTCCTGAAATTTGGTATGCTTGTTTGTCTTTGTGTCTATGGTATATAATGATGTGATTGTGATGCTGTATTTCTGAGTGTTTTATGTGCTGCAGAACAGGAACCTGCTGTAAAACAGCAATTATGCTGAGTCAGGCTTGATTTTTAGTAATCTTTTCCTGTTAAATCGATAAATCAAATGAAATCAAAGTAACATTAATTACATTCTCTCTGGAAACATAGTTACGAGATTTAAGACGGATAGTCTGAGCTTCTCTCTGTGTGCACTACGTTGTGTACAAGTCTGTGCTTAATCTTTGATATAATCCCTTTTTGTTGGAGTAACAAGAGACAAAATACTGAGTTTTGGAGGACCTCACACTTCCATCCACTGAGGCGTGCAGTGATTCAAGCTGTGCTCATTAGAAACGGCTGCAAATGGTGATAAGACTTAGTGAACTCCGTACTGACAGTGATCACAGCAACAAAAACCATTTCCATCTGCAAGGTCATGATGGCCAGCAGAATAATGCTGTCTACTCAGTTTTCATACTTCAAAGTTACCCTGAGCGCTGCGCTGCTTTGTGCTCGGGAGATCATCAGTGCAAAAGGACAGAAAAATGTGCTGTTTTCTTCTTTCTTTAAAAAACTCATTAAAAGAGTTTATTATCATGTATTTAATTTTTTTTCCATGTTTTTTTTCTTATTTTGATCAGCTATCAAGTTGTTTACAACAGAGAACAGTACAACTAAACCATAAAAGTGGTTGTATTGTACAAACAGCAATTTGATTGCAGAAAGTAGCTTTTGGTCAGTTCAAGTCCAGACTATAGTTTTTAACTTTGCTACTAAGTAAATGCAGCTGAGTTAGGGGTTAGTGTTAAGGTTAAAAAGAAAAAAAATGAACCAAATATTTTTGTAAGTTTTAGAGTGAACCACAGCAGCCTCAATTCATCTCAGTAACTATTTTCCAAGCCCGTGGAGCTCCAGGGTGATAAAACTACATTCTGAAAAGAGTTTTATTTTACTCTGACTTTCAGGGTCATACAGAAGTCCTGTCTAATACTTTTTATTTTCCACTGGTGAATGGTTCAGTTTGCATCAGCTGACTGCCATCTGTCTCACATTAGCTTCAGACTTAGACTTCAGCAGGTTAGGACGGTGCAGTTAGTTTGGGAGGAGAACATTTCCATCAATGAAGAAAGTAAAAAATATATATATTTAACATAACTTTAAATTGATTTGCAGCCAGTCCCTTCAATAGAATGTGCACAAGTTCTGTTGTGTGGTTGGGTTCTGGAAAATGTTTCATCAACAAAACCCCACAGAGTCCCTCATTGTTGGATTCACAGTTTCAGGTTTTCCCATTAACCATTTTTTCAGCTTGGTCTTCTTTCATGGAGCTGGATGTTTTTCTCTGACCATTTAGGGTTGATTTGGTTCCTGCTTTTATAACTTAAGAAGCCAAACAGCATCTCTTCTGTTTCTTCTGCTGCCTGAAGAACACTGAGAGAATGAGTAGTTTCTGTCCTCAGACCTGTTGAACTCCGAACACTAGAAAAAAACAACATCAACAAAACAACCGACAAATCACAATCAAAATGCTACAATTTTGCACATTTTTTGGTTTCAAATTCAGTTCTGTTAAACATATTTGTTATTTGTGTTAATTTCCTCTTAATACTGTGTGCTCTGCTTGTGTGATTTTTGGAAATAGCCACAACATATTTTACTGCATATTATACCAAGTGTGATTCTGCATGTAAAGTTTATCTTTATTTTATGTTATTTGACTAGTTTGGCATTTTTATTTATTTTTTATTTTTTAAGTCAATGTATTCTTTAACAAACATTTAGTCAACTAAAGCTACATTAACGCCTCAGGATATTATTCATTTCCAATTTTTTGTTGAGTTCCTGTTTTTTTGCACTGTTCTTTAAGATGTAATTTAAATGTGTCTGCCATCAGACTCCACTGTAAACAGTCTACAGTGACACACCTGCAGAAAAAGATGCCTATTTCAAAAAAACGTGTTTTTGGAAGTAAAGAAAAACCTACACATCAGAGTGTGTCAGTTCTGAATTTCTTGTGCAATCAGAGCAGACTAAATTATTTTCTGCTGTGCTTGTTTCACCCAATGTTTACATCTCATGTTGCTGCGTCTCGTCTAATCTGATGTAAAACTATGATGCTTGTCACACTTCAGTGAAGAGCAATGTGACCGATCAGACTGAGGTCGCTTTGAAAAGATCAGAAATGTGTCCACACATGAAAGTGATGTGTGGGAGGGTCCGTAGGGGTTGGGTGCAATGTGTGGGCAGTGGTCGAGGGCGAGGACCTTGGCAGTCCGATCCTTGGCTAAAGAAGCTGGCTCTAGGGACGTGGAATGTCACCTCTCTGGTAGGGAAGGAGCCTGAATTGGTGTGAAGTTGAGAGGTTCTGACTAGATATAGTTGGACTCACCTTGACACACCTCTCTGGTTCTGGAACCAGTCTCCTCGAGAGGGGTTGGACACTCTTCCACTCTGGAGTTTTCCATGCTGAGAGGTGCTGAGCAGGAGTGGGCATTCTTATTGCCCCCATCTCGGTGCCTGTACAATGGGGTTCACCCCAGTGAATGAGAGGGTAGCCTCCCTCCGCCTACGGGTGAGGGGACGGGTCCTGACTGTTGTTTGTGCCTATGAGCCTAACAGCAGGTCAGATTACTCACCCTCTCTGGAGTCCTTGGAGGGGGTGCTGGCGAGCGCTCCTAACGGGGACTCCCTCGTTCTGCTGGGGGACTTCAACGTTCACTTGGGCAATGACTGTGAAACCTGGAGGGGCGTGGTTGGGAGGAACGGCCCCCCAACCTGAACCCGAGCTGTGTTTTGATATTGGACTTCTGTGCTCATCATGGATTGTCCATAACGAACACCATGTTCAAACATAAGGGTGTCCATATGTACTCTTGGCACGAGGACACTCTAGGCCACAGTTCGATCATTGACTTTGTTGTTGTTTCATCTGATCTGCTGCTGCATGTCTTGGACACTCGGGTGAAGAGAGGGGCGGAGCTGTCAACTGACCACTACCAGTTGGTGAGTTGCTCCGATGGTAGGGGAGGATGCCGGTCAGACCTGGCGGACCCAATCATATAGTGAGGGTCTGCTGAGAACATCTGGCAGAGTCTCCTGTCAGACTGAACTTTAACTCACACCTCCAGGAGAACTTTGAACATGTTCCGGGGGAGGTAGAGGACATTGAGTCCGAGTGGGTCATGTTCCGTGCCTCCATTGTCGAGGCGTCTTACCTAAGCTGTGGCTGTAAGGTTGTCGGTACCTGTCGTGACGCCAACCCTTGATATACAAACAATAGTGATGGCTGGATATTGTTTTCTTTTTTCAAATGATCAGTGTTGTGTTGGGTGAAGAGTTTGAGGAGGAAAAACATTTTTCTTCCTTGTTAACAGTGGTGATGGAAAAAAAGATGTGAACATCAGATGCTTTTCACATGTACAATCAAACCAGCTGCTCAACAAAGCGGTTCATCTTGCTAACTTAACAACTGTCTTTAGGGAAAAGATCATTTTCAGCAAAATTACATTCATAAGGGAGCTAGGAGTCCTGCTCCTCAGCTCTGTGTTTTTCCTCATGAACAAACACACCCATGAAGTTCTGGCCAATCACACACTGTGAGCCACAAGGTCCACATCGCAGAGTTCTGTTTGGGGGAAATGTACACTGCGGCTATCATCGGGGAGATAGCAGCAGGAGAGAAGATGGAAGTTACACAGTTTTTTGTCAGTCAGCAGGGGGAGTACTGGGTATTTTAGGGTAAGGGGTCAGGGTTAGGCTATAGAAAAGACTGGAAATAAATGGAAGTCAATGAGCAGTCCTATTAGGGAGATAAATAAAAATGTGTGTATGTGTACATGTCTTTGTATTGGTGTGTGAGCATATTTTGACATTATACTAATCTATGAGGATATTTTGTCCTTGTGTGGTCACTTGCCTGTTCCACACAATGGATAAAACCCTGTTTCATTTTGTCTTAAAAAGTACTCAAAAACAAGAGCTTAGACTGATGAAGAAACAGAAAATGGACAATGGAGATAAAAGGTAAGACAGTTTATTAACCGACTGATTCCAGGTCTTGGAAACCAGGCAAGGAGGCTGGCATGGGCGAGGAGGTCTGCAGAGGTTCTTTAAAAGGTAAGTCCAATCACAGGTAATGTCCAGAATGTTTCTTTGCAGTTTTCCTTGAACTTGGAGAGAGAGGCAGGGCGAAGGACAACGAGGCTAACTGCTTCAGTTCCAAATTGAAAGAGCAAACTGCTCCAATGAGGATGGTACTCAGAGGCAACAAGAAGGATCAGGAACTCCAACCTGAACACAGATAAGCATGCAAAAATACAACTAGATAAACTTTGTCTTTCAGAGAGAATGACTCAGGCTGTCTAAAGCAGTACCATGGGGTGACTGAATAATCCAGCGTCGGATGGATCTCAGAAGGCGGCTTAAAGGTGCAGTCTGTAACTTTTTAAAATATATATTTTGACATATTTGTTAAAACTGTCACTGTCCTAACAGATTGATATAAGACAGATAATCTCTGGGGGGAAAAAAAGAAAAAAAGTCCTCTGGCTCCTCCCGGTAGTCCTACTGCCCTCTGTTAAAACCTCTCCGACCCGGAGACCGAACAGCCAATCAAAACCGAGGTTTGTTTCATGCACGAGCTGTTCTTGCCCACCCCCCGTCCCTGCCCGCGCAGCCGAGGTAGCATGCTCTCGTTCAAACAGTAAGCTAGCTGAGCTAGCTGAGTGAAGCTGACCCCTCCAACAACCTACACCCTACAACCTGGATTGGAGCCTGTTCTGAAACCCAACACAGGGAAACAGAAGAAGACCCAGGAATAAATCCAAGTTGAAAAGAAAGAATTAGATCGAGCCCAGAAGAAAATGAGGTGGATTTCACAGGAGGAAGAGGAGGGATGCAGAGTTAGCCATTTCTGCTTGACAAGTTAGTATCTCTGCTTCATTCTTTTTATTTTAATAATGTTATTAAAAAATAAAAAGCATAGAGCTGCTGTAGTACTACACAACAAAGTTAGCGATGGTTACAGAACCACCAGCAATATGTTTGTTTTATTATAACACGTTAAATAAATGCTAACGTTAGCAGCTAACTCGTTTADCCTCAGTAAGCTACTGTTCATATTTACCTACATATAGTTATCTTGACTTATTCTGTCRTGGATCAGRATTAAAAGCAGTTAGATRTGKTGAAATTACTGTAACTGTGTACTGCCTCTGTCGAAAATAAAAGTAAATAAAATACAATGAAGCCTGATCAACATTAGCACTTAGCTAATCAGCCCTGCTGTTAGCCCTGGCTGATAAAATGCACCCATGTTTGTATTTAGTTTTATTAACATTTGATTTTTAACAACAGCTCAGCATTAAAACGTGTGTTAGTTCTACAGAATATATGCTGTTGCTGATTACTTTTTGTTTAGAAATATAGAAGTTGTATTAATAACTCAGCAGCTGTGGTCACTTACAAATAAAAACCCTAAAATATAAAATAAAATAAAAATATAAACCCAGGAAAGATCATGGGTTTTTGGAACTATACTGGGTTATGCTTTTTCACCTTCTGTCTGAATGTCATCTTTCTATAAAAGATGAAAACGTCAGTGTAACATGTTAGGAGTATATTACAAAGTTAAATGTGTGTGATTAAAAGACAACCCTGACAATTTATTTATGTAATTGTTTTTTGCAGATGTCTGGATGTTTATTTGGCTAACAACAACAACCAAACTGCAGATGACCACACATCATTTCCCGGTCCATTCCAGTGTTGTTGGTAACGCAGATCGGTAAGAAAATATATTGAAGGCTTTTATTGCCAAGCATTCTGTGTTTGTTCAGCCTCAGCAGGATTTATAATCTGTTATTAGATGTTTAGTCTGGTAGATTATCATATGTGATTCATTCTACAACCAAAAACTATATAACATTATATAGGTAAGTTGGTCTAGACATATGTAAAATAAAATTCAGTATGTGATAAATGTGTTGAATTAAAAATCTGGTTATGGTTTTAACTCTTTATACTGTATAATTGTTTCAGAGAAGCTGACTTTGGGGGAGGTCTGAGACGCAGTGGATTCTGGGAGACTCCTATGCAGGCTTTGTAAAATAGGTAAGTCATAAACTGTGTCGAGATGAATTTTTTGGACTGCAACTGTTGTAGCTCTGATGTTCATCTTAATTGTAGGACAAAGGGAAATATTTGATGGTAAGTTTGGTGGTTTATTCAATGCAACAGATTTTAAACTGACAAACTGTGGGAGACAGAAACAAGAACCAAAGTTCATTTTATATAATGTAAACATTTATTCAGTAGTAAATAATAAATTTTGTTTTACATTAAATAAAAGTAACAGGCTGCATGATATTTGAAAAAAAATGGCATTGCATTTTTACATCTCATTTACATCCTCATAGTCTTCCTCCACAGCTTGAGAATTCACAGAAAACTATTCTCCATTAAATGTTATTATTGTCCCAGAGGTTTTACAACAAGACAATTTTATATTTATTTTTTCATCAGTCTGATAAGAGAAACCACATCAAATCATAACCACATGGTCCGTGGAAATGACTGCAGTGAGATAATATGCAGCTGGATTTAGGTTTGTTAATTTTATTGAAAATTCTTTACCTTGTTTTCAGAAGTTTTATCACAAGTTATATCATCATCATCATCATCATCATCATCATCATCATCATCATCATCATCATCATCACAATAATAAGCAGTTATTGCTCATCACAGCCTTCACAATTTCCTGATATTTTGCAGCCAAAAAGTTTTCTTCCACCTCAGGATGTAATCCTTTG